CATGTTTCACGACGGGCAGTGGGCTCAGACCGACGAGCTGTTGGTCAGTGGCGAGAACTCGAATTTTTTTTGCTAAATGATTGAGTTTGATTCTTTATAGCTACGACAATTCGTTACGATTAAATCTACTATTCAGCGTCCAGAGTATGTGAAGGGACCTTAACTTCAACTCCGACGTAGGTGCACTGAAGTCTCCTACAGATAGTTGTGTGGTGTTAAGAGACAATGCTCTCTAACGGATATGTGGAGTGACCTATATGCATATTTATTTCTTGTACCGAAAAAAAAGTGAAACATCTACTTGATCTAAATTCTAGTAAAAACTCAAGAACTATTTTACATAAAAACAACTAAATTATGAAATTAAAAAAACTAAAAAAAATTACATAATTTTTTGTATGGCACTTATTAAAAGGGCTACTCGTATCATATATGATGAGTCCAAAATTAACTGGGCCAAGCCTAATTAATTTAAACCGAGAAGGCCCAATCAAAGTTGGGTCAACCCATTAAAAGGAGTTCTAATTACCGGAGCCTAAAAGCAGTTGGACCTGCTCATAAGTTAAGAAGGAGTCAAGTGAAATTCAAGCCAAAGGCCAACGCCTATGGCTTGCCTCCCTGTCCCTCTTCTCCACTCCAATACAAGTTCAAGTCCACAGCACTCCAAGTCTAAGCTCAAGATCAGGATCAGCTCAGCTCAAGATCATCATCCAACAGAATAGGGACACTAGTGAGAAAATATCGGGATGCGGAGATACATTCCTACTAAGGTTATACTTACCGAGATAGTGGAAGACCCCTTTCTCATGCCACTGTCTCACCGCCTTGGTATGCTTATATAATATAAGTCTTCTACATGTAGAGGACAGACTCTCATAGTCTTGAAATCCCTACACACACTACACCATCCCACACCCATTACTCTCTCTCTCTCTTAAAGGCATTATAATACCCCTGAAGAATACTCTCCGATGACTTCATTCATTAATAAAAGATCTAGGCCACTGCTGCCGTTCCAGAAAGTGGAGTAGGTCACCTGGACCGAACCACTATAATTCTTTGTGTTGGCTCCTTATTTACAGCTTTATTATTGATTGTTTTATTTATTTCTCATTAACTCCATCCGTTCATACACTCGACTGTTAATTTTGCACAAAAACTAATTTGTGCATCATTAGTTTGGCACCATCTGTGGGAAATCGACTAGTTTTCCTACTCTTTTGATCTATGACAATCACTACCAGATCAATGAGTCAACTTCCGGGAGACAATAACCCAACCCACCGGGAGGAGGCTCTACCTCCCCTTGCACCTATAGAACCATCTGTTACTACTACTCCCACTGCTGGCCAGTAGCAACAACTTCTCCAGACCATGTAGTTATTGATAAGCCAAAACCAGCAAATCATCCAATTCATGCTCTCCCAAGGAGGCGTCGCCCCTCCACTCGTAGGAGGAGTCCCACTCCCCCTACTAGGAGAAAGAGCAACTACTTATCCTTTCTGTGCATCAGGCAGCCCCACACTATGAGGCTTCACCAGAACACTGAAGGACCACGCCAGGGTGCCCCTCACCCAATCCCTCCTTAGCGCGCAAGGAGTTGACGAGCGCCCCATCCTCATGAACCTGTGCAGGAGAACGAAGATAGAGAAAGTCAATACGGAGACTATGAAAACCAATATCACCACTCAATGGAGGATGTCCCTAATCGGTGGGGCGAATAAATCAGAGAAGTACAAAACCAACGCGGCAATGCCCTCATCGCTATCAAAGCACAAGCGCCTGAAACTGTGGACCACTTGGTAAGGCGCACCGATACCCCTTTCATTACTGATATCCTTAACTACCCTCTACCCTCGAAGTTCAAGATGCCCACCATTGAGATCTTCAATGGCACCAATGACCCCTTAGACCATCTGGATACCTACAAATCTCTCATGCAACTCTACAATGTGCCTAAAAAGATAATGTGTAGAACCTTCCCTACCATCTTGAAGGGGTCTGCTCGCTAGTGGTTCTCCAAGCTCGGGCCCTCCTCCATCTATTCTTTCGCCGAGCTTAACAGGTCCTTTGTCTCCCACTTTATTAAGGGACATCGACATCAGAAACCAGTGACACCATCTGCTCACAATCAAGCAGGATAGGGAAGAAAGCCTCAGAGACTACCTTGCCCGTTTCAATGAGGAGATCCTCCAAATGGAGGAGCCAGATGATGAGGTGGCTTTGACTGCCTTTATTGCCGGCCTTTGCATCTTTAGCTTCATGTTCTCAGTCCTCAAGAAGCCACCCTTCAGCATGCTCGAGCTGCTGTCTAGGGCACAAAAGTATATGAATGCCGAGGTTGTCACCAAGGCCCATCGGGTTGAGTCCTCTCGAGGAGGAGAGAAAAGGAAAGACGGCCGAGAAGATAGAAGGGAGACCGATAACAAGAGAAAGAAAGCCGAGAGAGTCTCCGTGAAAGATCGCCTCAGACTATTACCACCAAGAGACCGACATCCATTCACTTTACTCAATGCCTCAGTGGAGCACATTCTCTTCCAGATTCAGGACGACCCTGCGTTCCGTTGGCCTAGGAAGATGAAGTCTGACCCGAAGCGCCAGAATCCCAGTAAGTACTGTCGCTTCCACCACGACCATGGACATGATACAGACGACTACATTCTTTAATTTAAACATGTAAGAGGCACCTCCTAGAATGAACAGGCTATCTGGAATGAACCAAAACCCTTTTGGTGTCAATTTCAAAGTAATGGGAAGAAATTTAAAATTTTGGTTAGATTTAAATTTTGATTGTGATTTTAATTCTGATTCATGTTCGAATCCGATTGTTTTGACCTGTGAACAACAAAACTCTAAATAATTTTATCCGAAAAGATTATACTTTTTTGGCCCAAGCCCGAGCCCGAGCTAGTCGTGGCGAGGCAAAGCGAGGCGGGCAAGTGATAACCAAAGTAGTATAGGCGCTCGCTTCGTTCACAAAAGTGTGGTATCCCTTGGGTGACCCATGAAACCAACTAGAAGTATATTAACTCACTAAAATATTGGTCTTCTTACAATGTGGGACAAGTTTTATTTTGCTACACTAATCTTAGTTTATTTCATAACTTCAAATATGTCACTTTGAGACATAATTTCTCATTGAAATCTTAATAATTTTGGGCAAATAAATATATCACATTAATCTTCTTGCGGAGAAAAACATGTTTAAATTTGGTCCCACCAATTTTGAGGTGTGGATCTCATTTTTATTTAATCCTCAAGTTGCTCAAATAATTTGTTTAAAACTAATTTTTTCCAACAATAACAACTCTGCGGGCAAAGATAGTTTCTAAATTCCTAAACCATAGGAATGCGTGGATTGTTGAAGACTTCAATACAAGAGCAAAGTTGAAAGGAAAATATTAAAAAGGGGGGTTGTAATGAATTCCTAAAAAAAAGAGGGATTTGGACAAAATGAATGTAGTTAACAAAAATGAATTGCGAAATGAATTTGGACACGTGTACTTATTTGATATGTTGTTGCAAGGTTGAGTATTGTTTGTATTGATTTATTTGAAAAATAGGGAAAACATTATCTAGGTTATTTTAAAAAATAGTAATATGAACAAAAAAAGTATTACAATACAATTTTGGTGGATTCTTATTTGTTAATAGACCTAAGTATGATATAAATTTGTAGGAATGAGTTTTTGGTACTGGTCTGATTGAAAAATTGACCACCCACTGTCCAAATTTAGTTTAAAAACAGTAACATGAACAAAAAATGAGTACATTAACAATATTGTGAATTCTTATTCTCAAATGATTTAAGTATGATACAAATTTTGAGGTTTGAGATTGTTAGAATTGATATGATTAACAAATTTACCACACACCATCAAAGTTCATGTTTTAAAATAGTAACATGGACAGTAACCTTATGAATAAGAGTGTAATATTAGTATGACATTTTATTCCACTAGATGCACAAGATTTTTTCAATTTTGGTATGATATTAGATAAATAAAAATTAAAAAAAAAACCTAATTGATTATAATAACATAGAAAGAGTAACATGACGAAAAAAAGAAGTTATATACTCCCAAAACCTTTTACACACAACATTTTTACCCCCCTGTTTCATTTACCAAATCATAGTCACACATCTTAAAATGACAATGTCTAAATCTTATTGATTGCGATAAGTAGATGTTTACAAAATTTCACTTCAAGTCTTCTTATTATGACTATTTAAAACGACCACAATGATTATATGCAAGTATTTTCAATCTGGAAACAACGATAAGGAGCAATACTTGCATATAATCAATGGAGTGTTTTCAATTTAGAAACAACAATAAAAATAATAAATTACAAGAAGAATACATTAGACTCAAAAACTTCGGCAATCAAACTCAACAATTCTGGCAATCGAACTCAACAAATCCTGGTTCAAATAAAAAAAAAAAACAAATCAACAAATCCGGCACCAAAAATCCCTCACTTCGTGATCCCAAGTTTGACCTATGAATACAGAAAAACACATATCATTTACAAAAGAAGAAGATGCATAATATTTACTCTTGAATTTGAATTTCAAAATTTATGAAAAAAATCTTACCCGCTGATCTCTACGTTTTTTGGTAAAAATAAAATAAAATTGAACTGGACTACTTACTAAAAAAATAAGAATAAGACTTAATATCAAATATATATTTGAGGCATGAACTTAAATCATTATAAGTTCTCTTAAAAGACTTGCTCGCAATTTTCACTTTAAAGTTGACACCCTTCTTCCTACGTCTTTCATTGTGTCTCTATGTCTGTGGACCGCAATGTCCACGGACGGCCCAGGCCTTCGCAAATGAAACTAGTAGACAGGCCAGCCCATATTAGATGAGGACTTATGGGTACTATAAAAGATTTTACAGGGGTACAAATGGTAATAAACAAAAAATGAAATTATAGGGTTTACAAGCCTCTAAAGCGCACACGCATGTATTGGCGCTTTATATACTTTAGCTCCTCCCAACTAGGGTTTGGAACCTGCGCATCTTTACCAGCAAGCAGCTCTCAAATCCTAAGACAAAATGGTACTCTCTCTCTCGATCTTGCTGAAATGTTTATTTCTAAATCCTTTGAAAGTTCCTGTTAATAAATTATATGTATGTTTGTTTATGTGTGACTGAACGGGTGTGAGTTTGTGTGGTAATTCTTAATGTTGTGATCGGCAGATTTTGTTTTCTGGGTCTCTCTTTATTTGCTAGGAAATGTTTGGTAAAAAGTTGGTTTTTTTTTTCCTGAATAAAATGAAATTTGGTTTTCAGAATGATCTGCAGCTGAATGTAAAATGTGGTAAATTTGATAAGTTGTCACCACGGAAAGTTCACAACAAGAAATAATTGAATCCCTTGTTGGATTTTTTTCGTTAGCAGAAAATTGTCTTAAGGACATTGAGGAATGAGATCTTAGAAAAAGTTTTTTGCTTGTTAGAACAGAGCAGATTAAACCTGGGGAAAATTTTATTATGTGCGAGTTTGTCAACTTTTGGGGTATTATGTTTCTATTAGTTTGGCATTCTCAACAAAATCTGTTTGATCTTATTGTTATGTTTGATGCTAAACATGGGGAGCATGAGGTAGTAGTTTTGAACTAGTTTTTTTTGGATATTTGTGTGCTTAGTTGCTTAAATGAATTCCCCAAAATAAGTTTTTGCTAAGAGACTAAGGAGGTGCAGTTTGGAACCCCCATGAGCATTGGTCCCTTGATCAAGGTCAAGGAATAGATCTTATCTTGTGGCAGGTCCCATGCAGCTACTAAAAGAAGTTGAACAAGTGAAACTCCGGAATTACGGCCTTCCAAGTTAAGATTTATAAATCCTTTTAAACATCTTCTTGAAGCAGTGCTTTTCGATTTATCCGATAAGCTTGAATCCTGCTATTTACTTATTTAGCTTAAAACCTTGTCAATAGTTAAAAGCCTCAATTACTGCCTACTCATTCACTGTTTTTAGATTCACTCGTGATTAATCCTTGGTCATTGAGTGTGGGAAGTATGTTCCCTCTGCTATAACTTGTTGACTCGTATTCCATTGTGAAGTTCAGTTTTCTGGTTAGCATGATGAGAAAAGCCAAACAATTGTGGTTGATCTGTTACAAATAGTGTCTGTATTAGAGCGTAATGGCGTCTTACTTATTAGATGGTTGAATGAATAGTTGTGAATGTGACTAATTTGGAGTTATCCCATATATTTGGATAAGCAGCTTTCAAGGTATATGTTTCTGAATTTATTTAGATATTTCTGTGACTGTATTTTAACACATTGGAATTAGAAATATTTAGAAGTTATTCCGCAAGGCATATGTGGTGATTTGGGTGGGGCTTTTAATGTTGTAGCAACATGTTAAGTTGCTTTAGGTGGAAGTCTGATGGTGCTAACTGTTTCTGTTTTGTTTTCTTTTGCAGCCTAAGCAAATTCACGAGATCAAGGATTTCCTTCTCACTGCCAGAAGGAAGGATGCTCGTTCTGTGAAGATCAAGAGGAGCAAAGATGTGGTCAAGTTCAAGGTTCGCTGCTCCAAGTACCTCTACACTCTCTGTGTGTTTGACTCAGAGAAGGCCGACAAATTGAAGCAATCCCTTCCTCCAGGTTGGCAATAGTTCTTTTTGAACAGCACCTCTATTAATTAGTCTATAATAATGCACATGACCTTCCAACTTGATATTTTCCTTCCTTGGGTTTTATACATCACTCAAGGCACATCTAGATGTTGGCACACTTTTAACTTGACTCGAGTATGCATTTACTGCATGTTGTACCCGGATTAGTAGTTTTGAACTAACACATCCTCAAATTCTATTGTATTAGAGGCCTTCAATATTGTAGTGTTTCTTTAATTTCAAACACGAAATTGGTCAAGTAGAAGATAATAGGTAGATTGGATGCAAACTTGAAATGCTAAGAATAAGAAGTCTTTTACCTTTTGTGTGTAAATGCTTCATGCTATCACTGCATGTTGGTACCATTGGAAAATTCTCTCTCCTCTTTGTGGGAAGGAGATTGAATTGATCAAAGTTGATAGCTAACTGATTTATTCTGCATGATTGTCAGTATTGATTCATTTCGCGTTTGCAGGTTTGAGCGTGCAAGACCTTTGAGCTGGGAATGAGCAGGAGCAAGAGCTCTAGTTGCTGAGAACAATTTTTTTGAAAAAAAAATTTGTGCTTTTTGGCATTAGTTTAAAAGACCCTGTTTGTGATGGATTTGGTTTTAACTCTTCAAATATGTATCGGCATCCCATATTCTGGTATTTTTTAGTAGATTGAGCTTTCTTGCTTCATGGTTGGATACCTGAACCTAGCCTTTGCTGGTAGATTAGCTCGTGTGTGTTTTTTTTTTGGGGGCGGGGATTTGTTTTGTTATTCTTTTTTTAGGGGGGGGCTGCTGTGCGGTGGTGTTATATCTGTATTCTTAGAGAGGATGAATTAATCAGTGGGGATGAGTGGATAGCCAAGTTCCCATCTTTGTTTGTATTGTTACGAAGTGAGCATGCTGGGCAAGCACTAAACCATTACCAACTTTCTGATACAGTTGAAAAAAGTAAGCTGAGACTTTTCATGGCTTACAAGTTCTGCATGAAACATCGAGGACCTTGTAGCCATTTGAGAACACCAAGAACATCCTCTAGACATCACCTTCAAGCTCCAGATTCTCAGTTCCAAGGGCCAAACCCAACAGAATTACGGTGTGAAACCTAGGCTTCTTTGTAGTTGCAACCAATTGTTTTTAACGTAGTAGGGAATTATTCTAACCATGTGATCACGGGACTCACGGCGGCAACAAAATCTTGGGTACATGCTAGTACCCGCAATCACTGACATTAGTTAGACATGTATTTTATGTTCCATTTTTAGCGTTGTTATTTAAAATATATTTAAATATTATATTATTTACTTTAATTAATTATTTTTTTAATTTCACTTCCACAACGTTATATATTTTAATTAATCACTTTAACTAACTTTCAATCATAAAATCTAAAATACTATTAAAATTCTTCAAGTCCACGATCCATACCCAACAAAAACAGATCTAAGAGAAAATAAATATACTTTTTTATAGTTTGGCTTAATTACAGGTCCTTGAATTGTTTGGCTTAATTACCAAAACCTTGTGTATTGCTTTGTATTTATAGCTATACAACTAAAGAAAAAAAACAGAGCAGTGGCATTTCCTATAACAAAGAAACAGAGAGAAGCCTTGTGAATTGCAATTCAGAAACAAAAACCCACATGAAAAAATGTAACCAGGTATCAAAAAAAAAAAGGGAATGAAAAAAATCCAAGAAATAATTACAGAAAGATTCAAACTACAATGAAAACCTACCAAATTTAACACACACAGAGATTCAACACACACACTCAGCACATACACAGAACGCACACAGACAGGGACATAAGAGAATTTGTTTAGGGGAGATCGAGTCACGATCAACACCCACACACAGAAATCAACACCCACACATGCCCAAACTCAGAAATCCAAAAAATTACGATCAACACCCACTCTCACCCAAACCCAAAAATCAACACCCACACACAGATCTAACTCAAAACTGAGAGAGAGGCATCGATGAAATCGAGTGACAAAGCTGTGAGTGACGATTGCCGGAGAAGAGACGATCGCCGATGGAGGTCTTCGGTCTTCGTTGAATGGACAGAGACGATGGAGAGAGGAGAGACAGAGAGGCTATGGAAAAGAGAAGAGGGAAGAGGAGGCGTATACCTGCTGAAGTGGAGCAGATTTTGGCGCAAAAAACATATTACCGAGCAGCTTTGTCGAGACAGATCTAGCCAGCCAAATGAAGGCTATCGGAAATAGATAGGCTACTAGCTAGTCTGTTGGACTTAATTTTTGTGGTCTGACTATGTAAAATAGCTAATCAGTTTATTGAGATGCTCTAAGTATAGGGAAATGTTATGGCACCACTAGTAATAAAAAATTAAAAATTATAATTTTTTAAGATTTAAATTATTGATTTTTCATAGAAGGTTGTGATCAATATTAAAGTTACAACTTTTAAGTTTAAGTTGTTAACTTAAGGAAGCCCAAAATTGATATTAGGTATTTGTGATCGATTATGATCTTGATCAATTGTAATTTCTTCTTTCAAATGTTTAACTTTATTATAAAAATTGTAACTTTGAGTATATTTTTGGCAGCGTAGATTTTCCCATCAGTTTAACTCGAACTGCAGGCATGTCTGAATATACATCATCCATGTTTAGTCATTGCCAACCCGTGCGGGTTACATCACCAAATAATTTCCCCTACACCAAATATATAAAGTGCATAGTGCTGTAAATATTCTATGGTATATATTGTAATAAAGTGGATCATCCCTAAGCTTTTAATTAGTATCCCAAGTAAATTTGAATAAGTGGGTGTTAGTGAAATAGTTTATAACTCTTACCCATTTATATTTCAATTTTACTATTTTATTTGATAATCTCTATGTTTAAAGATCTATAAAAAGAGGTTTGACCACAATGAGGAATATAAATTGAGAAACTCTATTTTCTAAGCATTTCTTTCTCTTGTCTTTTTGTAATTATATTCTCTATATTTCTTTGGTTTTACAAATATGTTATTGACACAAAACTCTATCTCTCTTGTTCTTTCTTACACCAAAAGGTGATACTATTCAAAATTGTTAGAGTCGAAAGAAATGAATTTTGCAGTTGGTGGAATGGATCTTATTTACCAATCGTTCAATTCTAAAATGAATGGTGAAGATGCATATATAGCTGGTAGTGGCGCACTACCCACACAATCCTTTGAGATAAAAGATTTTTCTCCAACTTAATGTCAGCCAAAGCTAATATAAATATAATATCGGGTTTTGCAAACTTAATTGAAGGCTTTGAAATAACTATTACCATGTTACCAAACGTAATAAAAATTCATATAAATGACGTTTCATATTCAGTTAGATTTAGAAGAAATCACCTAAGTTTCAAAGGTATACATTGCATGGATTTCATATTGAAACTATGAATGCTAATAATAAAAATTACCTCTATATTACTTTAATTATTTTCAGCCTAAAGTTTTTATTAAAGAACTTCTTGCTTGATCTGGGTTGTACTATATAACCATAAGAACAATTTAATCAAACAATACGATTAGTCAAAAGCTTTCTAATTCAAAGACTTTTGTACTTTGGCATGACTGACTTGGTCATCCCGGGTCAATAATGATGCGTCGAATCATCTACAACTCACATGGACATCCTCTAAAAGCTTGAAGATACTTTTGCGGGGTGATTAGAATTGTTCACAAGGAAAATTGATTGTTAGATCATATCCCTCAAAAGTCAATATTGAATCCCTAACCTTTTTTACAAAGAATTCAAGGGGATATTTGTGGACATATTCACCCATCATGTGGACCATTTTAATAATTTATAATTTTAGTTGATGCTTCAACACGGTGGTCATATGTTTCTTTACTATCTACTCGCAATGTTGATTTTTCTCATTTTCTTGCCAGAATAATCCAGTTATGAGTACAATTCTCAGATTATTCAATCAGGACAATTCGTCTTGATATTGCTTGTGAATTTACATTTCAACCATTTGAGGACTAGTGCATGTCTATTGGGATTGATTGAAGCACCCAATTACTTACATCTGTACTCAAAATGGTTTAGATGAGTCTTTCATCAAACGACTCCAATTGATGGCTTGATCATTACTTATGATGACAAAATTACTAATTTATATTCAAGGACATGCTATATTACATGCAGTAACCTTAGTTTGTGTTGGAGTATAGTCTAGTTTATTAAGATTTTTTTCTAGTTTATTCTTTTCACTTTTTTACCTTTATTATCACTTTTATATTTTGCCTAGACCATAAGGATGTTTATGTCACTTTGTACTATTATTTGACTATATATACAGGGCTCTACTTTTAGTTTGAGTATCCCTTTTTACTCACCAATACATCAAGTTGGTATCAGAGCCAACCCTAACCCTTGTTCCTCCTCCACGTCGTAGCCCACTCTACCGACAAGCGACCCATAACTTGCAACTCCATTGAGATAGCTACCGACACATTGTTCACTAACATACTATCCTTTGATACTTTTAGCCTCCTCCATCCACTCTTACCCACCGATACCACTACCATCACCACCTTCATCGACAACAGACCACCAACGACATTATCAACAACCAAAACCAGCAACCCACTAACACCACTGCACACCGGCAAAACCATCACCAATCACCAGCAACTCAGGCACAATAACCAAGTCAACCCAATAAACAAACAGTCCACCGACAATAACTTAAGAAAAAAAAACACATACCAGACCATCGACAAACCAGAAAGCCACAAAGAAACCCATAACACCGATTGGCCATCCACCGACAAACCCAGAAAACCCCATACCAACCCACTCAAACTAGCAAAGGAACCCAGAACCAGCGACAAGCAACACTCCACCGACCTAATAAACCACCTCACTAGCGAACCTAGAACCAGTATCCAACTCCACCAAACGAACCTAGAACTAGACCGCCCACCCATGGAACCCAGCCACCCAGAACCAACGACCATCAGAATTAGAACCCAGCCTCCCATCAGAACCAGCTATAGCCAGCATCCAAAATCGACAGCCAGCGACCCACTACCAGTAACCCAACCCAACCTAACCTAGACCAGCCCCAAACCCAACACAGTATCCACTGAACCGATACCCAAACCACTGATTTTCTCAGCGACAAAACCACCCTAACCCAGTTGCCTAGCCTACTGCTGGGTCACTGCCCAGCCCACTCATCAGCCCACTTGTCAGGTCGCATTTTTTGTTGTATCTTCGTTGCACTCTTTGTCACAGTGCCGCTATCTCTTCGAGCCACCTTTTTTTTCTAGGGTTGTAGTATCTAGGACTTTTTTAGAAGGAATCACATCCTCTTCTCCGTTGATCTGTTTTTGATGCAGTAGATCACTTATATATTTCTTGAATTTTTTAGCACCCTGACTTGATTATTTGGTAGCTTTCTGGACCTTATTTATCTATCGCTGTTGTTTGACTTGAGGTATATTGTTCTCCCTTATTTTATCCCTCTATTTATCTTAAAATTATTTTTCTATCACGAGTGCCCTAAAATTGTTGATGATATGACTACTACTAAGGGACTTGAGACCCCTACTGTTGACACCTATACTGTTGAGACATCTATTAGTACTTGTACTTTTATATTTGACCAGTATACAGTACCTATTGACACAGTTGCATTACCAACAATGTCGGGTATGATCTCTCTAAAAGTTACAACACAGTTGTTGAATGATCTTAACTTTGTTGAGTGGTCTCGCTCATTTTAACTTTTCTTAGGCCGTGTAGGGAAGCTTGGTTGGCTGACGGGATCTCATCCAAAGCCAGCTGATGATGAACCTAGACATTTTGCATGGTTCTTTAAGAACTACACCATTCTTGGATGATTATTTAACTAAATGGAGCCATCTGTTTGTAAGATTCACCAATTTTATAGCTCTATTTCAAAATTATGGAGAGTATTATCAGAGATGTATTCCCAGTCAGGACGGATAATTTGTGTTTATGAGCTTTCTTAGGAGCTCTCATATGCTCGACGGAGAGATATGACCATTTAGAATTATTATGACTATTTGACCCAGTGCTGACTTGAGTATGAGATTCTATGTCTTCTTGCTGCTATTCCAAGGA